AAAATTGGGGGTCTTTTTTTAACACTTGAGATTGAAATCAGAACACATCCCAATCCTGACATCGATTTGACCTGTAGAAATAATGCATGCTCTGCCTCCTTCCAGACTCGACTAGAACCAACTAGCCCGCCAAGCTTAACATAATCTATTCTCTCTCCCGCCACGTACACTTCTCCTCCCTTTCACAAATAGCCCAATACGTGCCACAACCTTTCTCATTCTCACTTTTTCTGCATTGATGATGTATATTGTGCCACCACCTGACTGGTCTTATCTTCTTTCTCTCAAAAAACCCAGCTTCCTCTCATCCTATATTTCCCCTCCACCTACTCAGTACCCTAGTCTCATCAATAAACAACTGTTGTAGTCATCCCTTCCAACATGTTAATTGTTAGGTGGCAGCTTCGAGGTGTAGCAGCATTTTTAAAGGACACGCTTGAAGGAGAAAAGGGAGTGACTTTTGGACAGACACTATTATTTCCTCTAACCATGCGTAGTCAATGATGATTTGGAAACCATCTCTGAAAGTGTGCCAGTCATTGACAGAGTCCTTTTTATATCGTCTACTTTTCAAAGCGTTTCCATGTATATTATTCCTTTTGAACTTCCAAACACCCTTGCAAAGCAGGTAAAGTAAGTATTGTTGTACTCAAGTATGATGCTAAGCCACAGGGAGGTTAAGTGACTCTCCGAAGGTCATACAGCTGGGGTCAGCCTAGGCAGCAGTAAACCTGGCTCTGCAAGCCCCCGAAATAAATCATTCTCCTCACCACAGAGGCAATTCTCAAATTCCACCTGCTGGACACTAATGGCTGCATGGCACTTTCCATGCACATCCTCCGGTCTCTAATTACCTGCCTATCTCAGTCTGAGTGAATTCCAGAACATCAGACCTAGGTTTTTCAGCTGATCTTCTCTAAAATATAGCAATATAATGAGGGTGCTTACATTCTATCATACAATGTTTCTGCTATAATTGTTTTGGGGCATTTTAAGTGGTGTTATATTTGGGCCTCAGGATTGTATTAATCCTATACTAAACGTCTTTAAAAATCAAATAAGGGGCTTCCCTGGTGGCACAGTGGTTAAGAACCCACCTGCCAATGCAGAGGACACGGGTTCAAGCCCTGGCCCGGGAAGATCCCACATGCCACAGAGCAACTAAGCCCGTGCACCACAACTACTGAGCCCTCCTGCCACAACTACTAAAGCCTGCGCGCCTAAAGCCCGTGCTCCGCAACAAGAGAAGCCACTGCAATGAGAAGCCCGCACACCACAACGAAGAGTGGCCCCTGCTTGCTGCAACTAGAGAAGCCCACGTGCAGCAATGAAGACCCAACGCAGCCAAAAATAAATAAATAAAAATAATAAAGTTCCCTTTAAAATATAATAAAATAAAAATCAAATAAGGAGGAGCAGAAAGTCTCAAAGGACCTAAAAGGTACATCCTTTCAACTGGGAAAAAAATAATCTTTAATGTATTCTATACTGCATGTTTTCAGGCTTAAACCATTTTGACCTCAAACCTCAGTTTCTGCTGTCATATTGGGAACCAGAGAAAGGAGATGGGTCTTGTGTGTTGGCAATGAAACCTCCATCACAGAAACATTTGGAAGAAAGGTCATTAGGTCTGTCACGCTGGGGAGTTTCACGTCTGCACTTTGATAGCTTGAAGAGCTGGAGGACTTCCTTCATCACTCCAGCATGAGATTCAGAAAACTGCCCCCCCAGATCACAGACCACCAAGTGTTCTTCCAAAGACCCACTAATGGGTCTTTCTGACTAATCGTGTGGAAAGTTCCCAAGTCATTGAAATTACCTCCCCTTTTTCCCCTTTAAAAACTTTCATGGCCAAGCAGAATCTCCAGAGCTGGTTCTGGGACTCACGTCCACCTTCTCCCAGGTTGCTAGCCCCCTGATTTTTGTTTTGTTTTGTTTTTTTGCTGTGCCACACGTCATGCGGGATGTGGGATGCGGGATCCCGACCAAGGATTGAGCCCATGCCCCCTGCAGTGGAACAGCGAAGTCTTGGCCACTGAACCGCCAGGGAAGTCCTTCTCTCCTCTCATTTTCCTCTTTGCTTCATTCCTATCAATATTCATTTTATTTGCCTTATTTCTTAATAACCCTTTAAAAATGTTCATCCTGCCAAGACCTGTCTCTTGTCTCTTAATTCTCTCCTTTGCCTTTCCCAGTTTTCTTGTTTTTTTTTAATAAACAAATTTATTTATTTATTTATTAAAAAAAAAGAAAGAAAGAAAGTTCCCAAGTCATGTTTCTTATCCAAAGCATTTCTGGATGAGAACATTCAACAGTGTTGCTTTCCATGTAGCTTTTCCCACTTGGACACGACTACCAAATGACACAATTCTAGTTATGCCCTCCACTCGCAAAGACAACCCACAGCTGCCCACTGCCTCTGGGGGAAAGCCCTAATCCCTCTACCTGGTATATAAGACTCTTCATGATGCAGTCCAAGGCTACCAGTTTTATGCCTGACACTATTCTGTACACTAATCCAAGTATTTCCCATTCCTCACAAACACCTGAAGTTCCCTGCTGTCTAATTTTCTCAAGTCACTTCTTCCACCTGCAATATTCTGTCCCTTCTCTGCTTATCTGTTTCCTTTGCAGTGTCAAAGACCAGCTCAACAACTTACTTTGCCCCCAATTTAGCTATTTATATACATGCCTTCTTCCTCCTTCTAAACTATGTTATACAGAACTTAATGCAACAAATGTGTTCATGGCAGATGCTCAATGCATTTAGCTGGCTATGTGGATAAATCTCACGCATCCACACCACAGTCTCAGAGGCAGGAAGGTGCAATAGGACCTCATGGGCAGTCCTGCCCGACGTCGGTGGGTGAATCAGTAGAACATCAGCAAGAGCACTGGCCTATTTGCTCTCTGCAACTGGTTTGCTTTTCTCCAGTGTGTGACCCAAGGCCTTAATCCTTTGCCTCAGTTGAGTGTACATATCCACTACATCAGTGCATAGTTAGAAAGTTTTTTCCTTAGGGTTCACGAAGTTTTGAAGTAACCATAATACAGACGTTTTTTTCCTAGAAGATTTTGTCATTCTTACAAGGTTGTGTGGCTTAAAGAGTAATTAAGGAAGGCAAATCCCAAATAAAAAGTGAAGATCCCAAATGGAGGACAGAGGCCTGTCCTATAAAGAGACACTGCCAGCTCCACCTCGGATTCCCAGAGCACATCCGGCACAGCAATCTTAGTGACCAACTGCTCTGGTGTCCTCCGTAATGAAATGGGTTCCTGAAGTGTGACTGGAGATCTGACCTAATGAAATGCAACAAGCAGCATCACCAAGGCTGCTGAAGCATGAGTCTGCGTTTCTCAAGTCAATGTAACAGAATCCGAGCCGTGAACAGTGGAAGGTGGGCCAGAAGGTTATCTGGTAGCCAAGGGCACTGCCGAGGCTTTAGAATAACAGCACAAGGTTGTAATCGAATGCTATCCCAGGACATTTAGCCAGTTAATCATCTCAATCATCCATCTTTTATTCATAAACATGGAGGAACAACGTTTTCTTTGGCTGCTCACTTTGCCCTTTCAGGTTACACCAATATTACGCTGTTCCAAGTTTTCCCTTTATGTCCCATAAAATGCACCTGGTTAAAGCATCTTGTCACCATGCATGTCAGTGCGAACACTGGACTAGGCTGGCCTGATCACAGGCAGGGCTTTAAGCATTTTTTTTCTTGGAACTTCGTTAAGACTGTATATCCACAGGGATGTGAGACAAATAACCACAGAATCTGAGGCAGGAGCCTGCCTTACTAAACAATATCCCTTACTGTTTTCTCAGTTATCCTTTTATCTCAGCCTTGAAGGAGAAGATTAAAAATGGGAGGATTATTTGTTTTATGTCTCAAATGTTAAAAATTCAGCAGGATATTCTTAGCAATAACAAATCCATCAGACTTAATCACCAGCGGAGCCCAAGTGCATTGCGAGTCCACATCACCTTCATGGATGTACTCTTTCCCACAAGTACAGAAGTGCAAAGCATGGACCAGGAATGTCAGCAAATGACCTCTGGGCAAGGACTGTATTTTACACATTATTTTGCCCCCGGGCTCTACCTCATCTCTTGACACCTACGTAGCAGACTTTATATAGACGAGATTAAGAACAAAGGCTCTGGAATCAGACTTCTGGGTTTAGCCCTCACTAGCTACATGGCCTTAATGAATCTCTCAGGGCCTCAGTTTCCTCACCTGCAGAATGTGAATAATAATGATACTAACATACACGATTACTGTGATAATTGAATGAATTAATACATGGAAGGTGCATAGTCAGTAAATGTTAGCTGTTGTTTGGACTGTCTTGAATTTAGCTGTGATCCATTGTTTTGGGGGGTTATATGGGTCCTGGGAAAACATGACTTTAGTTCACCTGTAACCAGGGAGAAAGAACACATACTATATCTTTTTTTTTTTTAACGTCTAAGTCTCTAGATCAGTGATTCTCAAAATATGGGCTGGGGACCTCTGGAAATCCCCAAGAACCAAGACCCCAAGACCCAAGTCCTTAAGGTCAAAACTATTTTCATAATAACATGAAACTTATCTGCCTTTTTCACTCTTGTCCTTTCGTGAGGGTACGGTAGAATTTTCCAGAGGCTATGTAGTGATGTCATCACTTAGTTAATGGAATGAGTGCTTGCACATTCTTGTGCTTTTTCATATTCCTCAGTCATCATTTCTCACACAGTAAATAGCAATAGCTATAACCACATAAACAAATCTCGCCAGGGTACTCAGTAATTTTTTAGAAGTTTAAAAGGGTCCAGTGACCCAAAAGTTTGAGAACCTCTGCTAGATTATCTCCAGTTAAAGTCCCCCTCCCTCCTCCCTTTCAAAATCTGTAATGTGAAAATACCGAACTCAGTCCTTACCTTTGAGCCTCTGGCCCCAACACAAAGTTAGGCCCCTGAAGCTGCTCTGCCTGCATTTTGTCCTTGTGTGTTTCAGGCTGTCGGGGTCCGACCTGCCTGGCGACGACTGGCTGTGGGATTACGAGAAGCATGGCCATCGCCGCTCCATGATTGGAAGAGTCAAGAGGTTCCTGAGCACCCACGAACGCGCCTCCAGCCCCAGGAGGAGAAGCTACAGGAGACAGGCCAGCGACAGCTCCACGTTCTTACCCCCGGGCGACCTCAGCCCAGCCAGGGACCTGCTGCACGTGCCCTCGAGAAGTCCCCACCATGCCTCAGCCACCTGGAAGCACCCCTGCACCCCAGAGGGGAGCCCCAAGCTGCACGCCAGCCTGGGAGAGCTGCCCACCCTCCGACAGGCCAGCCTGACTCCACCGTCCAGTGTGAGGGGCTACCCCGCCAAAACGCCGCGGGTCCCTGAGGTACTGGTCACAGCAGCCGAAGCGGCAGTGTCCAGGGCAGAGGATGACCACCACGACTCCACTGCCTCTATCCAGAGCTCTGACTTCACCGGGGTTCAGCCGAGCAGGACTGGGAAGCAGGACCCTGTGGGGTCAGTCCCGTTCCCCTCAGAGAAAGGGGCACCTTCTAGGGACCCCAGTTCCCAGACTGTTCCAGCCAAAGCTGAGAGAAACCTCCTCCAGTTTGCCTCTGAGGAGGACACTCATGAGAGTGACACGTCCCCAGAAAGGTGGAGCCTCCCGAGGTTGGTGGAGTCCAGCCGCACCTCCCTGGCAGGCCTAAGTCCGGATCCCGTGAGCCCTGAGCCAGTTCCTTTACTTGACACAGAAACATCCTCAGAGACCGGTGGAATCAACATTGTGGCTGGTTCTCGAGTCTCTCCTGATGTGCTGTATTTAATGGAAAACCTGGACACCAAGGAAACGGATATCATAGAGTTTAACCACGAGCAAACGGAGGAGTCACCCAAAGGAAGGCCAGAAAGTTCTAGGACCTGGCTCTAGCCTAGATTCTTACTTTCCCAAAAGTTCAAGTATTAGTTCCAGAACATACCTGGGGGCTGGTCAATTTTTTTTTTTAAATGATCATACCGTATAAGCTACTTAAAACTTTGAAGGGCATTATGATCCTGACTTTTTGAGACCTGAGAAAATCAAACACATTCACGCCACCCACTACAAAGTGACTTTCATGGAAGTTACGCAGACCACAGTGAGGTATCTTAACCAAATAAGGAAACTTAAATATATAAATATATATGCCTTATAAATTCATAGATTGTTAGCTTTGCAAAGGGCTTTATAGATCATGGTCCAATCCCCTAGTTTTGCCAATAGAGAAACAAAGGATTCTCTCTTCCCTTTTTTTTTTTTCCATTTCTTCTTTTCTTCAGTTATAAAGACAGGCAGATGGATCATACGATGCCTCAAAAGCCCCTTCCTAACGCTGATTCCTTGTTTGAGGCTTTCTAACCATCTCACTCCACTTTCTATAACTCTTATCTTTCCTAATTCTTAAGCCTCATCAGCATCAGGAAGCTCCATCTCCCTTCAATTTCCTTTCCGACCTCCAACCTCCCAGACTTCATTTTTCTCTCTTCCCCCTTTATTCCCTCATCCTATTGTTCTTCTCGTCTCCCTAGTCTTGCTCCTTCTCCGGTGATTCTCATCCGTCCCACCTTTCAGGCTGTAACATTTTCTCCTGCCAACTTTGTTGCTTACTTCTTGCCACAGTTTTAAAAGCACGAGGCATTGGCAAAGCCTCCTACAGAGCGATCAAAGTGTCAGTAAATGCAGCCGGGCTCCTCCCAGCCTCGAGGGAAGGGGCATGGGACCTGCTGTGTCCCCCATGCCCTCTCAGCCATGGCCGTCTCTCTCTGCCTCCACTCTTAGGTCTTGAACACCGGAGAAGCCACGATGGCATGAGACCTGCATAACCAAATGCTATGGAACCAAATAACAAGGTTTCAAACTGTTTCACTCAGACTCTTAAAGAAAAATCCCCATCGTGTCATGACATGGGACCAGTTACTGTGTCTGCCAGGTTGTTTGGGATGAAGTAGGGTATTGGAGCTGGGAGGATAAGGGGGTCCAGGGCTGTATGATGGGGATGGGACATTGACTAACTTCCTCCAAGGAGTTCCTGGGTGGCTGTTTGTTGGCAGCTCCCAACTTTAACTGGAAGGCCGTGCTAATGAGTGCTGCTCTCACTATTTCTGTCATACGATGAAGCTTGACTACGAGCTCAAAAACAAAATAGCCCTAATTGCTACCACTTATTGAGTGTTCACAATAGCGTGTAAAAACAGATAATCCCACTAATCCTCACAGGAACCCTATGAATTGATACACTATTATCTCTATTTTACTTTATTATTTTTTAAAAGAGTCTTTCATTTCTCAATGTTAGTTGTTATTCTTTTATCCAAATAATATACCTTAGCAGACCAATGCTTTCTTTATTATTATTATTTTTCTTTTTGGCCGCGCGGCAGGTGGGATCTTAGTTCCCCGACTGGGATCAAACCCACACACCCCTGCAGTGGAAGCGCACAGTCTTAACCACTGGACCACCGGGGAAGTCCCTATCTCCATTTTAAAGATGAAGAAAACAGAGGCTTTAGAGAAGTAATCTGACTAAAATCACATAGCTAGGAAGTGGCAGGGCTTGGGTTCAAGCCCAGGTTTATCTGACTCAAGAGCCCACACTCTTGTCCGGTGCACTTCAACAATGCTGTGCTCTCTGTAGGGCCCTGAATCTACCAGCAATTTGCCCAGAATTCCGGAGGATGCCCCACGGGAGCCAGGCCTAAGTCTCTCCAGCCTTGGAGGCCTTTCTGGGTCCTCCCTGCTTAAGTCCACCTGGATCTTATATGCATGTGTACAGGAGGACAGTGCTCCAACTTGAAGCCTAGCCATGGTCCTCTTCATTTTTCTGACAGATGAAATTTAGCAGAACCCTCTCCTTCCTTCCCCAGCTCCTCTCATTATGCAATGTTATCATGTGCTATAACATTAGCACATTTTTACAAGACATTGCATCCAACTGGGCCATCCCAGCTACATGACAGCAATGAAATTTTCTTGAACTAATTTTTCTCAAAGGACTAAAAGGTAACAATGTTGGAAGAAATGCTCTACGTTGATGGTTCTGTGTGTTGGTCAATAGTGTTAGCACCTGGAAAAGGCACCCATGCTCCTGGAGCATTATATCTGGACTATGCAATCAGGCCCCAATGCAACGCTGCTAAAACGCAGGAACCCTAACCTTCTCCCAGCCTCCTAACGCTATTTTCTTGGCTGTTTCAACTTAAATCTTCTCTTCTCTTCTCTTTGGCTTTATCTATTGCTCAAATTCAAATAAGTTTCTACTTAGCCGCTTTTGAAATATGTGTTCCTAAATCCAAAGTGATGTATTATACACAAATAGAATCATACATTTTGTGGAGGACCAGGAGAGTTCATTTATCTCTGCTTCCCTCCATCCCTTATGCATCTTTGTCCAAAGAATTATTTAATTTCCTCAATATTTCATCAAAATTTGAGGTGGCCTCTATTTCCTCCTTGCACTGAAAACTGAATAATGGCTCATTCAATGAGCCCAGGTGGTTGAATTCAGCTATAAATTCAAGCCAGCAGTTGCCCAGATCAGATGAAGAAATTCTCTCTTCACTCTTACCTGAGTTTTTACCCAATGCAGACTGAAGTTGCAAAAACAAAATGATTTCTTCTCCTGTGACTGATTGTATTGCCTGCCTAGCCCATCTTCTCCTGAGCTCTGGAAACTTCCACCCGCTGGATGAATGGTCACAACGTCCGGCGGCTTAGTCGTTTGGGCTCATCCATTCCAAGAACAGGCCCATCTCTGCTCTGCATTAAACGTAATCCACAAGCCAGAGGTGCAATGAGGCCAAGCCCTACTTACTGCATTCTCTCTCTGTTCTCCAGAGATGATGACTCTGCCCTGATGCCAGGATCCCCAGGTCAGCAAAGCTAAAAGCCCAGGAGCTTTTTCTCTGTCATCCAAGAATTTAGGGATGACTGCCCCTCCAGAACAAAGCAGGTTACTCTCTCCCCTCTTTAACGGTACCGTCTATTTCTTGGGGCATCGCCTCCACAGCTCCAGGCATCCATTGCAGCCCAGTTCAGCTAAGCTTTGGAAAATGTATTTTCAATAGAATGGAGAAATATATAATTTACCATTAGTTTAAAGAAAAGACTCGCTTAACTATACACCCCTCTTATTTAGTGTTTCCCCTCTAGCTTCCTCCTTCTCCAGAGAAGTTGATTCAATCCTCATTCATTGTTCTAAGACCTTCTTATCATAAAGTCTGCTGAGCCCAGGCAGCCATGTGGTGTGATGGAATGAGGATGAGAAACCCGGCGTGTGACTTCCCTCTGAGTGGCTTTGTGAACTTGAACAAGGCCCCTTCCTCTATCTCTCCTATCGTTATCTGTGAAATGGGCTCTTTTCTGCCCCACCTCTCTGGCCGCATGAGGAGCTGAGGGAGTTTATGTGAAAAGGCGGGGAGCCCCAGGCAGCACTGTGTGGGTGACTGGCCCGACTGGGAATTGATGCCCCCGTGGATTCACCACGAACTGCAGAGAAAAGGCATCCTTTTCTCCCTTTCCACTTGAGTAATTTGCTTATCGGGATCCCCTGTTCTCCAGGCTGCTGAGCTCTTTCATTCAGACAGCTTGCCATTTCTCTTTGGGCTTCTATTTTTGTTTTGTTTCATATGCTTCCCAATGTCTACCGCATCTTCCTTTTCTCCAGCGTTTTTCTCAAACCTTCACTCCCCACAAAAGCCGGCCTCATCATCGTGGTGATAAATTCTGCTCCTTACCCATTTTAGGTATCAATCTCCTCAATCAAAATATGGAACTAGAAAAAACATCAATTGCCTTTGTTCTTTCCACTATAACTCTAGAGGATTTAGCACCTCTGGTTTGCAGTTGGAGGAGCCTCTTAGGGCATCTAATCTCCCTAAACCTGGTCCTACATCAGTTAAGGGGGAATAATAACTACAACTGTAAAAAATTCCTAAGCAGGAGCCAGTTTAGAATCTAATTCCTTTTCCTCTTCACAATCATCATCTATATGATCAACATCAGTCATTTTCTGAAGTGCTGTGGTATCAATAGGAATAAGCAAGGATCTTCCTCATTTTGTCTTATGGAATACTCTCAGGTAGATCCTCAATCCTTTCACATGCTTGCTTTCCTTTTTTCATAAATTTATTTATTTCTTTATTTTTGGCTGTGTTGTGTCTTCGTTGCTGCGCGCGGGCTTTCTCTAGTTGCAGCACGCGGGGGCTACTCTTTGTTGCAGTGTGTGGGCTTCTCATGTGGTGGCTTCTCTTGTTGCGGAGCACAGGCTCTAGGAGCCCAGGTTTCAGTATTTGTGGCACGCGGGCTCAGTAGTTGTGGCTCGTGGGCTCAGTAGTTGTGGCGCACGGGCTTAGTTGCTCCGCGGCATGTGGGATCTTCCCGGACCAGAGTTCGAACCCATGTCCCCTGCATTGGCAGGTGGATTCTTAACCGCTGTGTCACCAGGGAAGTCCCCTCGCATGCTTTCTGTGTTTCTTAGTTCTGTGAACCCTAATTTTTAAGACAGTATTTATGGCAGTGGCTATTGAGTCAAAGGAACCAATCCAAGAATACCAGAATTGTTCTCCTATTGCAAATCTTAGAGAACCCTAGATGTGGCAAAAAGAAAACGGAAGCAATTACCCTGGAAAACAGAAGCACAAAAAACACATTTGACCTAAGTACCCTGTTAACTCTGTGTGGAGAGTCAGTTTTTGTGTTTTGTTTCTGAATTAGTTCAGAAAATGGGCCCAACTCTTCCTTTCACCACAAGTAGTTTTGGCCAGATGGTTCCCTGGAACCATCTTTTCTGAACTTCTAGTTTTAGATATTTACATAACAGAAGCAGCAAAAGGAATGCTGTATCTTGTCTCCTGAAAGAGGATAAGAACATTTCTAAAATACCTTTTGTACAGAAATGCTGATGTGTTCCAAGTTCTTTGTCTAGTTAATGGTTATTAACCTGAGGCACTTTTGTACCCAGGAAACATTTGGCAATGTCTGGAGACATTCTGGGTTGTCACACTGGGGAGCGTTACTGGCATCTAGTGGAAAGAGGCCAGGGATGTTGCTAAACATCCTGCAATGCACAGGACAGACAGGCACAACTGTGGAGCCCAAAAATAATCAGATTGGGAAATCTGACTTAGGCCAACAGGAAGGTGTAAATGAGACAACCACCAAGGAGATTAATGAAGAGAGATAATCCAGAGAAAGAAATAGAACTAAAAGAGAACAGATGAACCCAGCAACT